TGAGATTTGCAGATCCATATGACAGTTCATGACAAATTGCATTGTCAACCATCCTGTTTTCAGGCTCCAGACAGTATATGTAGTGGTTGTTACCAGGCTCTACTGTAGTGGTGTAATTAATTGTATGTTTTGTCCCTAGAGTGAAAAAGCCAAACCAGGAGAAAAAAGAGTCATAGACATTACTGGAATCTTATGTGAGGAAAGTAGATTGATTTTAATCACTGTGCCCTAAGAATTGCAGTGGATGTTTTATAAATGAGTTGTTCTGGTAGGCTGCTGCTGCAGATGGTTGCTGCCTCAGTGTTATTTTAATCATTCTGTGCCTGATATAGTTATTAAAAAGATGGTTAAGGATTTCAGGTGAAGATTAAAATTACCTGGTTAAAAATCAGATGCAGAAAAAATTGTAATTTTTTGTGGTATCTTCTTGTTCTTATTACACAACAAATTGACCTCCAAAAGCATGCCAAGCAAACAGGAGATGACATGGGCCACATTGAAAACCATTTAGTGGTACTCTGTCATGTCTAGGCTCCTGGGAGTTTGTTGAAAGGCTGATGAAAATCAGGGGCTTAGTGTGCAAAGGATGGCATAAATGAATGCAATATTGAATTTACAGTATTCTCTCAGGTACTAATATTTTTATCATATAATTTCTTAGGTTAGTGAGGCCAATTGACCATATTAAGATAATATTTAAAGGTTTTTTAGCAACTGAAAAAATCGTAGAACTGACGAGGTGAAAGTTGAAGCAGAAAAAACAAATCTGGTATTAATTTTATAAAAATTTTTATACCTACAGATAATGAAATAATATCTTTGGTATAACGGTGGATTTACTTCTTCTGGCTTAAGACCACCTTCTTTAAAATGTTCCTTTAGCATACTGGCTAAAGTTCTTGGTGTTAAGAGTTGAGTTACAGAGTAGAGTTTTTATTTCCCTATTAGATCATATCCTTCCTTTGACATATAGTGACAGTCTGGCTCTAGGAAGGCCAGTTTAAATTTTCTGTAGAAAGTAATAAGTAGTAGCATGAAGACTTGGAAAGCCCTGTAGGAATACAGGCACATTCATTTTCTTAATTTCCACTGACAGTTGTGTAGCCAAATGTAGTAGTAACCTTTGAAAATGGCATCCAAAGTGTTGGTTTTGTGGTTGTTGAAGTCCCAGCTGTGCACAGGGAAGATGTGAGTCATTCCCTAGTGATGCTTGACAGTTTCACTGTCTGATGGCTTCAGGCCATTCTTTTGCACTAATGATGGCCTGTAAAGGTAAATGCACCCCCCTCGCCCCTCAAATCCTACTTTAAGGAATGTTTGTTTCTCCTAAAGCATGAGATGGTATTTGGAGAAACTCAGCTGACATAAATTAGTTTCTCCTGCTTGTCTCTAGTACTGGCTAGTTGTGCTGGGGTGAGGGAAGTGTCTGCTTATTCTAATCTAGAGCTGCCTATTCCTGAGAATGAAGTGTAATAATGCTGAATATGTGAGAATATATTCTGTATGTGGTGAAAGCATATAGCTATTATGTACTAGTGCATAATGGAAACACATGGATTTTAGTGTATGATTTCATCTCTCACGCTGTGTTACTGTCTACACTACTGTTTAAAGTTCTCAGTAGCAGGTTCTGTCCTCCTATTTTTCTAGAGATTGAAAAGCTTTGAAGAGATTATTCAAAAGAAAGAGGAATTGAAAAACAAAATAAAAGAAGGTGGTCTTAAAACCATAATTCAGAAACTCTCTTTTCCTTGTTTACCATTTACCAGAACATGAGTGTACTCAATAAATTTGAATGTCTGTGAGAAATTCCAGAACTCATAAAGGGAAGAGGCTCTTGTACACAATATATTGTTGCAGAAGGTTAAGGCCAAGAATATAGCAAACTTCAAATATATTGCAAAAATCAATCAGGTACTAGCAGGGTTATTGCTGGTATCCAAAGTTATAATCACTAATTCTATCAAAGTTTGTCACAGATATTGTGGTTTGTGTTTTGAGGCATGGATTAATCTGTCTGACAGATACTAAGAGGAAACTTGTGGAAGGCTGATGTCATGCCTACCTTGTACAGGCCCTTATGCTACAGTCTAATCTTATTATGCTGGCATTATACAAAAATATTTGAGTGTGCTGTTTGTATCAACTGCTTTTTACAAAGTCCTTTAAAATGCACATATGTACATCCTTGTCAACCAAAGTGATAACTATCTAAACCACTGTATTTAATCAAATTGACTCAGGAGTAAAGGCAGCATGGTTGGCTATCTGCAGTTCTGTAAGAATCAAAGTGCTACTGGCCTATAGAAATGGTCTCCACTACACTGGGCATACAATCTGAGCATTTGTGTATGTTAAGGTTCATTGTGTTCTTTTAGCATACAATTATTTTTCAGTACAGGTTTTGCTGCTTAGTGTCACTGCTTTGCTGGGAAAGGCAATGTATCATGTGTCTAGATGAGGCCTTATGTGACTGTTTGCATTTCCCAAATAGAGCCACATCTCAATATATCCAACAAGAGAAAATGAATGCTAAGATGATTCTTGTGTTTTTCACCCATCTTATGACTGGGAAGAAGAGTAAAAGAAAACACAAACTATAATATGATTTCTAATCTACTCTAATTCTAACTCCATTCCATTCCATTTCATTCCATTCCATTCCATCCCATTCCATCCCATTTGTGCCTTTTTAGATGCAGGGGGTCTTGCAATTGGTTTTTAGAACTTTATGAACATACAGAATAACAAGCACTATTTTATAGCCGTCTGACAGGATGCAGCATGATGTAGTTGTTTCCATTTGAGATGTAATACCAACATGACGTGTGCAGACTTCTGCAAAAAAAAAGAACTAGATGTAGTTCTGGGTGGGAACCAGAGGCAGTACCAGAGGAACTAAACTTCAGTTGCTTATCCTGTGAATAAACACATTGCAGGAAGAAATTTTCTCAAAACTTAAGTTATTTAAAGGAGAGCTCTAAGGAGGAAAATGTTATTTTTATTTTTGCTTGCATGAGAGGTTTCACATGTAGTGATGTGTTAGTAGGAGCTGTGCCAGTTTGCACAATGAAATGCTAATCTATCATGTAGACCTCCTCCCAAGTGGTGGGGTTAAGAAGAGTGGGAATCTTTATTCTCTTTGCATGTTCAGGTCTGGCAAGAGTAATTGGAATAGTATTTAGAGGTATTGTGGAAGTGTAACTTTATAAAGCAAATTATCTCATTAGTGCTCCCCTTGTTCTCTAACTAGCATAATTAATATCCAAATGTTCCCTAAGATTAGTTTTATTTTCTGCTCAGCTAGTTGACAGACATTGGTGAGATCTGAATTCACAGCAGGCTAGAGCAGATGGCTACCTTCGCTAACAGATTACTGCATCAAGGCATACAAACTCCCCAGCTCTGTCTCAATAAACTTCAACACATGATTTATAAAGTGAACATAATAGAAGAAATCCATAATGCCTATAATGGGAATCATATTACCACACTACGTAAAACACTGTGAGAATTGCCTGAGCAGTTATTTTATACTTGTTCTGATCTTCAAATCTTATTAGGCAGGAAAGTCTTGTCTGGAAAATTATTCATCTTCTTTTCTGTATTGCTTCCACTCAGTTATATTTTATTGAACTAATTCAAGGGAAGTTTCCAATACATCTAGCTTCCGTTGAACCTCCAGCAAACACATGAATGTGTTCACAGCGATTTGATGGTTATTTATTTGTTTTGGATCTTTTACATAAAGAAAAATTTCTCTGCTAAACTTCTATACCAGCAAGTCCATGATGAAACTGCTGTACTCTCAACTAAAAACACAGCCAAAGAGAGCTATTGTTTCAGAAAAAGAAAAGTCATTGCAAAATCGTGCATAAAGGTCCTGCACAGCAGATAAGCTTGATTATTTGAGATGATAAATTGAAAGTAAAATTTGCCTGGAACAGTTGATGTGAAATGCCTCATAAAGGAGACCAAGACTCTCTACAGAGTGTACCAGCTTCCAATGATGACCTAGTATCTTTTCAGAAAGATGTTATTTCTAGAATGATGCACAGTAACAATGATACATAAATAAATATGAAATGTGAATCCCTCTGTGCCTGAAATCTACTGATATTGCTAGTATTGTTTTGTAGAGGGCAATTCTATAATTCTTTATGTTTTTGTAAACATTCAGCATAAATTTACACTCTCAAAGTTCCCATTGCTTTGGGTGTCTTAGGCACAGAGCGATTTATAATTATAAGATAGAGAGAGTGTTCTAATTCTTGCAAAATCTGGTCTTGTCTCCTGATGGGCGTATCCCACTGCTTTTCTGCTTTCCTGAGGACAATAGAAAAATCAGCTGATGTACTTTGTGCTCTGTGCAATTGTTAACCCTCTCTTCTGTCCTTTCCCTTCTTTAGTTCAATCTTATAAGTTCTCTGTTTTCCCCCCTTTGAGCTTAAGTTCTAGGTTTTGCCCTGCCCACTCTGAGCTATGTCTCTGTATGAGAGAGGGGGCTTCAGTCTCTTGTGGGATACTGGGAGCTAATTGGATTTTCCTGTTAGTGTTATGAAGAACAGTGGACATACCACAATGTCAGTGGAACCCAGAGGTTACTTTGTCACTGTTATAAAGAGATAGATACAATTTCCAGTTTTAAAGAGTAAAGGAAGAGGTTTTTTTCATTTTGAAATTAAGATTATTTCTATTTGTGCACCTGACATACATTCCTGTATATATATATATATACATATAAACTATATATAATTAACTAGTTATTGTATTTCCACATGCAGTAATGTTTTCCTAGGATGTGAAGCAGAGGAGGTGCAGGAAATACATAGCAGCAAAAGATCGTAGATTTTTATTTCCAAAGATGCTGTTTGTACTGTCTGGCTGAATAGTATTGACCACAGTGAATATTTGATGTATTGCTTGCTTCGAGTTGCATGGTGTCTATTCAGTCAAATACAAATGCATGTTGGGTTATTGTGTTGTTGTTTCTACCACAGACTTGCCCTCAGCAAACTTAAGCAATTACAACATCACCGTGGTGGAAGGAAAGAGCATCACGTTGTACTGTGATACTACTGGTGGGCCACCCCCAAATGTATCCTGGGTGGTAACTAATCTTGTTTCAAACCATGAGGTAAGGTTTAAATTCAAACATGTGACAATTCAGGTGACATCTGCTGAAAGATGGAATGAAGTTTCATGTCCACCTCTAGTTAACCTTTTATTAAAAGATTAAATAGAAAGTTAATGTTTGATTAGATTTATCTTCCAGTTTCTTTCAATCAAGGGTGACTGTGGCAGTGCTTTTGGTGAATGGCAGACATTTGTTTCTCAAGATTCTCATTTACACTCTGGTTTTTTGGATGCTCACTTGTAAATAAGAGTAATGTAAATGTTTTGAAGTAATGTGAATTGGAATATTGAAACACAAGGACTCTCTTATCACTGATACCTGCCTACAGAGATTAAATCTAATCTATACTGATTGTGAAAATCTTTGGGTCTCTAATTATATTATATTTTCATTTCATAATTCAGTGTGTTGGAATTTGGTTGTAAATATTTTGTGGCTTGTTTAATTTTTCTTCAACATACTTAGCAGCAACAGAAAACCTTGAAATTGAACATTTTACTTAAAATACTGTCAGGATGGATTTGTTTTGTTTTGTCTTTCTAATGATGTATGAATCTTTTTCCTTATTGAAACCATCTATGTCGGGAAATTTTATTTACTGGGCTCTTTATATTTTTATTTTTTGTTTTTGTAGACTGTGCTACTTAAGTCCTTTCTGATTGAAATATTGAAAAAGGAGGAGCATATAAGCAGCTGCTGACCTCATAAATTGCTATGATTTCACAATAGGAAAAACCCATGTTTATTATGATTTTATGGCATTTGCTTTCCTATAATCATGACGGTACACACTGTGTAAAGCTTCTTGATACAAGGTGTGGGAAGCGTACTTTCAAAACTCTTCTTGCAGTGAGGGTTTTGAGTCTCAGAGTTTTGTATTTTCTTTCCGAAGTTTATTACATTGGGCTTGTAGAGAATTTAAGTAATCTGTCTTTCATTCCAGCTTTCATAAGTAAGAGCTCTGCAGAGCTCTAGTTGTATTTTTAAAATTTTCTCTGATCTGTAAAACTCCCCAGAGGCATCAAGGCATCAGTCGTCATCAAGAACAAGAAATTAAAACATTTTGGGGAACCTCTGCCAAGTTGCAATATTTTTCAAAAATTTTTAGAAGTTTTAATTCTAGGAGCCAAAACAAATGTGGGACTCTGTTCAAGAAGTGAGATAACCTAATTTTTTTAACCCTCCTATCTTGGAAATGCCATGGTCAGTTTGCTTCAAATTTTCCATAAATATTCTATCCTGGCATAACTTCATCATGCTATTGTAGAGGGGCTTATAATATGGGCTGCCTACAAACTTAGCCATGGAGCACAGCACTCTTTTCAATAGCAGAAGAGCAGAGCCTTTTAGACCTTACCTGTGATTCTCAACTATCCTTTTCTATAAATGTTGCTTTTGGTTTCTTTTGTTTCACTTCTGTATCACAGATTCTGCCTTCATTTTCTTCATCTTGTACGCTTCTTTTAACTGTTTCCTCTCACCTCTTTTATAAGAAGGACATTAGCAAAGGTTAAAACTAGGTTTTAGTTCTGCAAAGCTAACCTTTAAGTTCTCTGTTTCTATGTTGATGGATAGTTTGACTGATGTTGTTTAGATTTTTCTTGCTCTAAATTTCAGTCCTGAGCCTGTGTTTCAGCCCCTCTGCTTTCAGAGGGTGTTTAGTCAGCTTTGAGCACTGCTCAGCTCTGAGATTTGCAAAATAGGAAAATGTGTGAAGGGGTGTTTGCTTTTCCACCTGCCTCCCCTACTGTCACACTGAGATCGAAGGGAAATTGAACTCATTGAGTTAGGCTGTCATCTCAACTTCCAAATTCTTTTTGACTGTATGCAGGAGCATTCCCACATATTCCTGTTGACTGCCATCTAAAGTTGCTGTGGTTTTACAATTATAGTGGGTTACCTGTTGGTGTTGTCTGTAGCACTGACAGTGTACATTACAAAAAGTACCTCAAAAGTAGTTTTAAAAATTCTTATAATTATTGTTTATTTTTGGAGGGTGTTTTGATTCCTTTCCAGTTTAACAAAATAGTCGAGCTCTTTATGAAAAATTTAAATATGGAAATAATTATTTGGAGATCATATGAAGGGCCTGATTTATTAACATCAGACAGCACTAGCTTACTAGTGCTTTTTTTGTGTGTGGGGGGTAATTCAGCCATATTTGTTTAGCCAGTCCAACATAGTTGCATAGTCAGTATGTTATTTAAGATTATAGATAGACACTCAGCTTTGTAAGGATCATAAAAATCAAGATTTTTAAGAATCATCATTCTTACCTTAATTAGCATGTTCTTAAACAAACAAAACAACACTTGGGCAATAGGTTAGGTAGTAGAAGGTATGCAGTTTCTTGTGGAAGGTTTCTTGAGAAAAGAAAGGAGATAGAAAACATGTCAAGATACAGTAGGGCTCAGAAGGCAGCAGTGGAAGAGATGTCAAGCATAAATTTAAACGAAGGAGAGAAAAGGATGAGTAAAGCAAAGATTGGATAGAATATAAGAAGGAAGAAAAGGTTTTAGAGAAGAGGGAGAAATCAGTCATGAGTAGGAGAGAGAGATAAGCAAGGGTATATGATTAGAGGGGAAAAACATTTATGTAGAAAGGATAAAGTGGTAAAAAAAAGGCACAGACTAGAAGTGACAGGGCAGAAACATGTTTGAGTGCAATTTTTGTGGCAGGATTTTGCAGCTTTGAATCTGCTGCCACTGACTGTTTGAATTGGTTCTGTACATGTTTTATGTCTGTTTGGATGAGACACCAAAATAAGGCTTTGGTTAGTAGTGGATAGATATAACTAAAAGGAAGGGAAAATGAAAAATGTCGTTCAACTAGGCCAGTAATTGCCTCCCTCTCCTTTGTTCTTAATGCTGTGGTTGATGCATAAATGTTTTTCTGATCATTTTTAGAGTGACACAAATAAAAACCCTGCCTCTCTCACCATCAAGAATGTCTCATCAATGGACAGTGGACTGGAGATTTCCTGTGTAGCAGAGAACATTGTAGGAGAGGACCAAGCCTCTGCTGAGCTTACAGTATTCTGTACGTATGTGGGCCTCCATACAGACCTGAAGGCTAAACTGCATTGGCAGGAACTGTTCTGGGTGTTTTTTGGACCTTCAGGCTGTTGAAATGAATCCCTTAAGGTGTGTGAACTATCTACTACAGTTAGATGCAGTTAATGCTAGGAGTAGCCAAGTCAGCCATTGTTGCATTTATCTTTTACAGCTCTGTATTCTGCAAAAACTATATTTCTGACTGCTTTGTCTTCCAGTTAAAAGAATCTGTAAGTAAAGGACTCAAATGCTGACTACTGAATGGCACTGTCAGTGTGGGCAGGTTTGTAATGTACATGCACACTGCCTTAGCAACTGCACACTGTGAATTGCAAAAGCTAGCAGAATTATACAAGACTACACATGTTTAAGTTCTTACTACCTAAAACAACAACTTTGTTGTAGTTCGTATGGCCAGATGTAAATTTATTTGCCATAGCTTTGAATAGTACACTTATTTCTCAGGGCCAAGGAAGGGAGAAGGGGCATATAATATAGTGAAGCAGTGGTTTCTTAGACCTAAACTCCAGACTGAATTAATTTGACATGAGCTACAGAGCATGTTTTCACAAGTTGCAACCTTCTGTTTAATTAAAGATGGCAATGGAACACTTTGTAAATGGCAAATTTTTCTCAGCATGTGCTTATGACAGAGTAAGCTAGAAAAAAACACTATAGATGTAGGTTTGTAGGTTGAAATTGGATATGTAATAACTATGGGAACAAACATAAACTAGAAATGTTTAAAGAGTGTAAATGAGATTCTGAGCTTGGCACTGTTATGGGTGATAAAAGGGAGTATAACTAGAAGGAATTGGATTTCGTTAAGAATATATATAAAGGAAAATAATGGGCAAGGTGTTGGAATAAACTCTTGAGGGGAAACAGAAGAGGTCTGTCAACCTGAGTCATTTAGCAGTTTTGAACAAGGATGAGAATATGTATAGTAAAGAATTATTTTTCCCTGACAGGATAATCTAGAGAATTAAGTAATCTGTTTTGTCTTTAATTCTGTTAAGAAAGTAATCTATAAATATGGATTCTTAGCTGAGCATCTTTCCAGTAGTACTTGCTTTTGGCCAATTTTATATATTTTCAATAATACTGTCTTCTTTCAGCACTCCTGTGCACTGTCTTTTGAGCAAAGCTAAAATGTCTCTCTCCTCCTTCTAAACGATCCAGTAAATGAAGTTCCCACACCTTACACATTTTAAGTGATTTAACATACTTTCAGTCTTTGAAACTAGTTTGTTTTATTTCTTTCTAACGAGTGGCTTCAGTTCAGTTCAGCATAATACTCTAGAAAGTGCAGGTATGTTCCTGTGTGAGTATCCTTCAAATAGGTACCTTTCCATCTAGTAACATACTTTTGTACTGGCGAATGAAAAGTACTTCCATGAGAACTTGGGAGGGAGGGAGGGAAGGGAGGAAGGACACATTCAGAATATTCTGATGCTCTTTGCTCTTTTTTCCAATATAGTTGCACCAAATATCACATTTATTGAGTCTCCGACTCCAGACCACCACTGGTGTATTCCATTCACTGTGAAAGGGAACCCTAAGCCCACATTGCAGTGGTTCTACGAAGGAGCTGTACTGAATGAATCTGAATACATCTGTACTAAAATACATGTTATCAATCAAAGTGAATACCATGGCTGCCTTCAGCTGGACAATCCTACACACCTGAATAATGGTGCTTATACCTTACTGGCAAAGAACGATTATGGAGAGGATGAAAAACGGGTTGATGCTCATTTCATGTCAGTGCCTGGAGATGGTGAGTGTAGTTTTTTTTTTAGTGCTAGCAATTGCAAATTGATGAAAGTGGTGAAATAGTGCTTATGGCCAGATTAGTTATTTTGGAGGAAGGTTTTTATAGAACTTTTTTCTCTGAATTAATGTCTTGAATATTACTTGGAAAATAATGCTTTTCTTAAGCATTTTCTTTTTGTTTATTGCTTCTGAAGGGAATTAATGCCAGTAAATCTTCCCTTTGAGTAACCATTCTCCTTGCCAGCCAAAGCTAATGGAAGGTTGCTGTTTCTTATCCTGAAAAGTGCTGATTGGCAATTCAGCCCCTCTATAACTTGCTGTACTGTATATGAATGGAACTAGGTAGTGTGATCAAGGATGTGGATGATGCTTGTGTGGCATCTAGTGCCTTGCTGCAAAATTGATAGTGCAGATAAGTGAATTCATGATAATATGTTGTTTTGGGGACACCAGAGGGAACTGGAGAAAAAACAAGTAACCCAGAAGGAGGATGGATAAGGTCTCAGACCTTAACAGGTATTTTTGGTGTCCAATTGCCATTTGTCTTGGTGGTGGCCAGACACCTACCTTGCTGGGAGTATCAGTGTTCAAATGGTTGCAACTTCAGTTGCTCTAAAGATTCTTCCTCACCCTTTCTAAATACTATGTGAGCAGGCTCAAGGCGGACTAGTTCACTGAATTGCAGGGACTACTCTAAGTGATTGATGTTCACTGTGGTTTGATGTTTTTCCATATCTTCAAAGCCATACATGAAGTGGCTGTAATAACAATCACTGTACATGCAAGCATGTTGTAGCATGTGGAAGAAAACTCTGAGTGGACCTTGCACTTTTGGAGTAGAAATAAAAGTGTAATCTTATGCAGATAATTGCATAGTCATACCTCAAAATATGAGACTGTATGTATCTTTGGCTTTTGACCATGTGATATAAATAGTTGCCTTCATTCTTTTTTAAAACAGCAGTGCTCTGTAATGTTATCTGATGGAAAATAAAAAGTGGTGACTATTTAAATTCTCTTCCTACACCTCAGGCCACAGACCATAAAAATATGGTAAATATTTCATTTTTAATTCTTTCAGCTCAGTTTGCTGAAATTGGAAGAGAGATTTTTGCTTTCCCATCCTTAGTAGAAGACGAAAAGCTAATAAAACTGGGTTTTATTTACTCCTGCTGTGCTCATTGCTCATCTTCTCTTTTTTCTCTGAAGTTCTGCCTTAAAGTGACTCATTACAGAAACATGTCATGGTTTCAGCTACTGGTATCCCCTAATACTGCATTTAAATTGTTCAGCAAAACAGTTCACCTCATGGATGTTCTGTGTACAGTGGAAGTTCTCTGAAAACCTGATTATTTAATATGAACCCGGCTTCATTTTCTAACAGAGTATCAGCTACCTCTAATACATTAGGTGATCATATAATTTTCTTTTGGTCTTTGATCCAAATCCTTTCCCTGTCCTTCCTGTTTTTCCATTATGCTTCTGTCCACAGTAAATAGAACTGTAGCTATCCTCTAATTTAGAAAGAATGTATGATTTATTTGTTCCATCCCTTTTATATTCATATAGAATGTAACTCTACCAATATAAACTGTGCTGTGTTCTTTAAGAATTTCCCAAGGTCTGTGATGGGGTTAAGCTTCACAAGAAGAGGATAGAAGAAATGGAACTATGTATAGACAGAATGTAACTGCATTAGAAATTAGTTCATGCATCGTAGATGGCACCAAACCAGTCTTAAAAATTAACAACACGGGAAATGGCGTAGCTACTTAGCCTCCTCAATTCTGTTTTTAGTTTTGTCCTGCAAGAATCATGGAACTGAACTTCAGAAAACATCACAACATTGTTGTCTCCTCCACTAAAGCTCGCATAAAAGCAAATGCATCATATTACAATTTTTGTTCTATACTATTACTATTTAAAGCACTGTCAGGCTTTTTCAAATCTTTAAAAGGCTTTTTCAGTGCTGTCATTACTGCATAGTTGCTTCCTTTGGCCCACATACTGTACACTGAAGCATAAAGATTAAGGCCCACACCCTGGCATTTTGTTCATTTTCATGTCTTCATGACTGAATTAAATACCAGTCCTGATATTTCATGGGGTGGGGTACAATCACTGAGCTTTAAACTGATTCTCTGGTTATTGCATCACTTTAGCAAATGCTCTGAAGATAAAAAGGAAAAAAAATAAAAAGAAAATTTAAAGATCTCCTCACCTGTAATCCACATGTTTACCCAAAGTAAATGTGTATGTCTGAGGCATGTTCTACATCAATAGTGTAATAGTCCACTTTCAGAGTTGGATCAAACATGACGAAAATGTCATTTGTACTAAGATGATCCTAACTTTCAGCATGCTTCTTGAAGGACTGTTTTTCACTGGTCTGAGGTTGCAGGCATGAAAGAGAGGAAACCATGTACCGTAGTGAGATTTTGATTGTGCTAATGATACCCAAGTTGAAGATGTAAATTAAGAATTTATTTTAAATGTGAAGACCTGAAAGAATTAATTTTATATTTTACTGGTTGTATTTTTAACTATCTTTAGTATGAAAAATTCTTGGTTTCCAATTCTTGCTGAGAGTGACTTGATTATTTGAGACTAGCTGCTGTGAACAGTAAGCAAGAAATGGTTTATTCTGGAGGCTGTTCTCATAGAACATGTTCCAAAATGGCTAGTGAATGTGGGAGACATTTTTACCATTAATAGGTATTTTTAATTAAGTTTATTCATCTACTAACTCCCTACATTAAAATTCAGCTGAATGAGTCCAAGTCACCTATATCTTGTCAAAGTAAAAGAATATGCTAAATATGCCTTAGAAGTATCATATTGCTTGTGCAGCATAACATGTTTTTTACAGAAGTATGTTTTTGGATTGATTCTCTTGCTGCTGCTTTATTTTGGAATTGCCAAATTTATAAAGAAAGAAGCAAACAATCCACGTGTAGTTGACATAGTTTGTAAAGATGAGTGAATAGGACAAGGCTTTTGATAGCTCATTTACTCAACAACCTCTTCTAATGGGAGCCAAAACAAAGGTGTCATTCTGTACTTGGCCTTGAAAATAATTGTGTGTAAATGTGCAAAAGGACTGTGGTGAAGTTTAGTGTTAAAATAACTTCAACTGATGATTAAGTTGGTTTGTTTCTATGTGCTAAATAGAAAAAGCAATACTAAACTGAAATTTGGGGGTTGTCCACCATCTTGATTTTTGTAGCTTTATTTGAAGTGTTTAGTTATATAAAATATATTTGAATGGAATTGATGCCTTCTTATTTTATATGTCTGGGAGGAGTTAAGGGTTATATTAACCTTCTTAGTTTATCGCAATTCCTGTGAATAGAAACAAAAATGTTGACATCTAACTCCATTTATAAATAAAGGACTAGGAGATTTTTTGTTGTTTGGGGTTTTTGTTCCACTTCAGATTACAGAAGGTAAGTTAGAAATACTGTTTTTCTGCAGCTGGATGTTCTACACTTGGAAAACTGAATCCATTCACTTTTGTGGATAAAAATCTCTGGCCATATTACTTGAGGACAGATAGTCAGGCTTTCTTCACTGGTTATTTATTTCTGCCAATTGACATGACAGATGTCAATTATGGGATCTATTGACATATATCCCTAGATACTGGAATATCTTCAAATGCATTTAAAAATAAACCTAATTTTCTGCTTCCATTCTACAAACAGGTTGCAACTAGTATTTTCAGCAGGTTCTTGTGCTGTTGACAATGATGTTTTGCTCTTACTTCACTGTGGCATTATGCCCATGTGACGCTACTGCTATGAATTTAATGTATAGCTGTATAAACTGAATTGTGTTTATTGAAGTTGCATTAAACTTTAGAGATTTTAATTATTTGTTAATTTTATTTCTAAGCCTGCTAAAATAGAGAGAAAAAATATGGAAGAGATTACTATTAGCCTACTACATAAACTATGCTAGAGGTACATTATAGATCCGAATGGATGCATATGTTCAAATGCAGCACAGGTGTCTTGCAAAACATGAATAACAGCTCACTGATTTATGTGGTTGTTCTGTGCATTTTTTACTCACTTATGTGCTAAACCTTACATACATTCCGTAAGTAATAAGAAAAAACTGCAAACAGGAGCTAGTAAAATTTAGAGAAGTGTAGACTAGACAGGTATCCATTTGCTAGTGTAAAGTCTGGTTTCTGAGACATCTGACTCTTTCAATAAGGGTTCTGCCTGTGTATCAGCTATGCAGCTGGCTTCTTGGAAGCATGCTTTTACAGAGTGTATAAAATGGTGCTGCTTAGGCCATTTCTACCTGTAGTCTTTAACTTCCCAGCTCACAGCTTAAAATGGTTCGCTCACACAATGATAGTAACATAATTTTTTATCATGTAAAAATCAGTGATTGTTAAAACTCTGTGAAATCTGCTTCCACTTGAATTCAGGGAAAATTTTACCTTTGCTTTTTCAACAGGAATAGTTATTGTTGCACTCATTATATATATATGTAAATAGTGGGTAGCAGGATTTTGCCCAGATGTGAAATAATGCTTGCCCCTGTCAGAGTTAGTGGGATCTGCACACATGACATGAAGCAAAATATTAACATTTGGATGGTTAGTAAGATGGTTGTAAATGTAATTAATAAAGTGCAGTTATTGATGTTGATTTGCATTTATGTAGATACTTATGATCTCTATGGCAAATAAAGTCAACTCTTAAAACTACTCATAAAAAAAATTTTATTCTTCCAGCATTTGCAATTTATTTACAAAGCTTTTCTTTTTTTCTTTCTTTCTTTCTTTCTTTCTTTCTTTCTTTCTTTCTTTCTTTCTTTCTTTCTTTCTTTTTTTTTTCTCCTTTTCATGTACAGGTAATGGCCCAATTCTGGATCCAGACGTTTATGGTATATATTTGATTTTCTTTTCTTTTAATATTAGAAATGAAGGAACCGAAACATTAAAAGTTCAAATGTTAGGCTCACTTAAATTTGAATGTCACATAGAATAATACAGCTCTAGAAGGTACTTTGTGGTTTTGGTTCTCCTGCCTTATATTTAATATATATGATGAAAATATGATGTTTTACTTATTATGATGCTTTTGAGTCACATTAGGAGAAGCATAAATCCACTGCTACAAATGGATGCAGTTGATCCTGTAAGATGACAGCTGTATGATGTAGTTCACAGACATGAGATTTTGTGAAACTTTTGGAGGCATTTCTTGGAGGAAAGAAAGTTTGTGATTTCTCTTTATACAACTAAATTTATTTTTTCAGGGATGATTCCATACTTGTTTTGCCTCCAAAAATGTACCCCTAAATCCCACTTAGAAATGAAGTTGGCACAAGTAAGTTTTCCTGTAGGCAATTTATTTTGCTCTGTCCGCTCATTTGTACCTTCCCTTAATCTCTCTTGCATAAGCAGACCATCAATTCAGTGGTAGCTGAGTGTGTGCCAGGAGATTTTGATGGCACAGTGTTCACATTAGTTTTTTAGTTAGGCAAAATGTACCAAGTGAAAGCCAGTGTGCACTGAAATAGAAGCTGAAGAATGAAAAGCAACTGTCTGGTTTTCAAAAATATTTCTGCTGGTGAGTAGAAAAGTTCATCTAACACAAAGCTGGATTCTGTTTGAAGTACTTTTTATTTGGATGAAATAGCCCATGACTCAGGTTACCTAAAGCTGATCTAAACGTTATTGCTTTGATTCCATTCCATGTCATTAAACTTTAGCAAATGTGCAATTGAAGCATCAATTTGACTTCAAATGCTTAGAAATTCCAAAGGAAAGCTTCCCCTCCCTCTCTTTCCAAATTTTTTTGTGAGGAGAAGGGGAAGGGAGGGATGGGGATGAGAAAGTGGTGATGGTTTGCGCAGTTTCTTCATGTGTTGTGTTATACAAGCTGTATGCTTGAAGATTTTGATTCTGAGCTTTTTATCAAGGTCCTGATGCCTGTGTATGGCTTTAGCCATGTGAATGCTGTGCTTTGACTGACTTGGGTGGATTTCTGCTGAGGTGTGTGTGCTTTGAGTTTTGCTAGCGGGTTGCAACCTGCAAGACCTAGTCCTGGTGAAGGCAGCCTTACTCTTTATTTCTGGCAGTTCTTTCTGCTGTTAGAAATTGCTGTCCTTGTGATGTGAGGCAACTTCCAAATTTTTTTTTAAGTATTTTGAACACACAAGAGAAATCAGATCTGATGAGGTGACATCAGGCTGCATGATTTTGCCGAGGGGAGTCCTGCCTGCATGGGGCACTGCTTGCTGCGAGCGTGGAGCAGTCATTTGTGCCTCTAGCTCACCTTTGTGGCACCTTTTGGAAAAGACAAAGAGAGAATGCTATCCTGACATGGTCTGGAAATTAACTGAAAGAAATAAACTGACTCACATGGGTCTGAGCAGGACATTGAGTGCAAAGGCAGCTCCTTTGGCTCTGAGTTCTTACTTCATGCCATGATGCCTCCTCTAATATAGTTGTGAACATGAGAGAGACAACCTGCCCCATATCTGCCAAACCCCAGAATGACCCCTCGGTCATTCTGCACATGTGACTGTGTTGTTATGGCTATCCCAGCCACCACGCACCTTCTTCGTGAGATGGCTGTAAAATACTGGCCAGCATCAGCTGCAAATCACTGCAGCTGTTATTAGTCACTGGTGGCTGCATGAGGTACAGAGCACCAGAGAACCTGGCCCTAAAGCAATATGAGCCTTATGTAGCATGAGTCAAAAGGCGTTATGCTGTCTGTAGGAGTTTTCAGTGTCTATGTCAGTATTTCATAGTAAAATGAACAGGAATTTGTTCAACTCAAATCGTCTGGCTTGTGCTGGATAGCTGTTACGTGTGCTTTCCTTGCCTGATTCACCCATTTCAAGGGGTTTTGAAGATTTGGCAATACCTCCAATGCAAATGATTCACAGTTAGACAACAAGCAATGTCAGCATACCACCAGTATACCAATGTAGCCTACCTTAGCTCTTGCCTATTTCCACATAGAAGGGCACCCAGAAGATTCACGGACCAGACCCGTGGTTCTCTTTAGCCCTCCAGGGTGTGATTTCCAGTAGTTTAGAGCAGTCTTGAGCATAAACAGAACTACAAATAACATCAGCTGTTATTTAGAAGTGAAATTGGGAGCAAAAAATTTCCTACTTCAAAGATTGTTTCACAAAGCCAGAGCAGCAAAGGCTCTAAATATTTGCTTTATATGTTAGTCTTATAAAATGATAATAAATAGATGGTTGGCCAAAACCATCTTTGTGAAAATTTTCCCAGCTAATTGTAGAGGAAGCCCAAGTTTTTAGGCTGAAGTACTTGTTACAAAACAGGCTTTGCCTGCAGAAAATGAGTTAGAAGTCTCCACCTCTTCTCTAGCAAAGGACTCACAGTAACAGATGGTCAGCACAGAACTTTGACTGAAAGTCCAGGCTACTCGTGTAGGTGAGCTATTCAGGCACCTATTCTCAAGGAATGCTGTTCATTCTCCTGTTGCTGCTGCTCTAACCTTGCTGCATGGTAAGCTACACACACAAAGATGCAGTGCAAAGTTGGAGAATTCAAATGATAAAAGATCAGGAAATTAACTTTTTTTTCTTGAAAGCTCTGTGCATTTAATATGTATTTTGTCTTGAAAGAGTCCTGTCCTTTAGCATGCCTAGTTTAGAGCCAAAATAGACTATGTGAGTTGTTTAGACATTCTGACTGTGCTGACTGTAACAGTGGTGCCAGAGGTAGCTGACAGCTTCCTGTAGAAAAAAAAAAAAAAACAAAACAAACAAACAAACAAAAAAAAAACCCAAAAAAAACCCCAAAACCAAAAAAAACCCCGCAGTCTGCAACTGCTTTGCAGAAAGCAAATGTGTCCTTGCATGCCTGAAGATCAAAAGCCCAGTGCAAGTTCTTACTAACATTGCCAGCTCAGCTCTCCAAATTGGCCTTGGGAGCTAAAGGAGAAAAGTGCTTAGGTGCAAGTCCTCCCTGTTCTTGCTCAGCGGGAGCTCCATGCTCAGAAATGCTCATGCTGCTGTAGTTAGCAAGATGTTTTTCAAATTCACATTTAAGATTTCATCTGTAGACTTATGGCACTGATTTTAATCAAAACTTGTAAAGAAATACCTACTTAATTGCAAACTTAAATTATGTTGCTGGAGGTGTATTTTATAGTAGGTGCAGTTATTGCCCTTTGTTTCTTTCATCTGCATACATTACAGTCATGAAATTGAAGTGTTATGTGTGTTCCCAGATGTAATAATAAAATAAATGCATTTTAAAATTTTATTTTAATGCATGTTTATTAACTTCATATATGTAGCATTTAATTTTTTTTCTCTCGTTTGAATAATTTTTTTCAGAAGATCATGGACTCTATGTTTTATTTTGAAGTTCTTATAAATAATTGAACCATGATCATTCTTTATATGGAATAGTTCTGGTTTTGTCCCTGTAGCCATGTCAGTGTAATTATTTTGATAAATCAATCAAATTTCTTCATACCATCTCAGGCACTTTAATTTTTAAAGGTTTATCAGTATGATAGCAATGTTAAACTGTAACCTCTGTGCATATAACATAGTTTTAAAAATTATTTATTAAACAAATGAAAACATGTATGTCATATTTTATATTAGCAAGATAGCTTGAAACCCATCTGCCAAGTTCTCAGCAAAACAAAAGTGCTCAAGCTATTTTCTAAGACTGTCCTATATTTGACTCAATGCAAGGCTGGTGAAGTTCAGTGTAGAGGGCAGTCTTTCATTTTTAATGGGAAGTCAGAAGCACATAAAAATAGCTCTATGGATGGAGCTCTTATTTAACTCTAGTATTTCCAGTAGGGATAGACATTATGATGTGGATTGCTTTTTTTTTCATGTTTATCAGTCTCAGCACATTTGTTCAATTACATGCCACAGTGATTCCTCCCAAATCATTTTGACTTCTTTAGCAATTATGAGTTGGTCTTTAAGCAAAGAGCTGATAGTGGTCTTACCATCTTACAGAGCAGCAATAATATAGAAAACCATTTCCCCATCAAGGTTATGAAGTTATAAAAGCAACCTTTTTTTATTTCTTAAGAGTATGAGACCACACCTAATGATCTTGGAGATGCCACAAATAACAGTAATCAAATCACTTCAACGGATGTTTCCAACAAAGAGAATGAAGATAGCATCACTGTAAGTATATGCATTGTTTCCTGATCTGTGATCTTTGTGGACTTTTTGGCTATGCAGCTTATAAAATTGCAAACACTATTATAAGACTCTGGCCTATCAGAAAACTATAGCTATTACTGTGTTGTGATTAAAACTGAGGAAAAAAAAAAAGATGAAAAATAAAATCAGTGCTCCCCACTCTTGTTCTTCCCCCATTTTTTTTGAATGAGTGAGTCGCTTTTCAGTTCAAGTAAAACTGCACTTTAGTGTCTTGCTTTTCTTAAAAATGAAACTGTCAATTTTTTAGCCTAAGAATTTGCATCTAATTTTTAGTCAAGGAGAGCAAATCTTCATTTACAAAACAAAGACCTCCAAGGTAATTTGAAGATTGTTGGTTAAGTACCCATCCTGGAGTCAACTCCATGTTAGAGAGGTGATATGCTGCAATGAATTTTCAAAATCTAACTGTATGTTTTAAGACATTATTTAATGTAAGTTTTTGACTAAATGGCTTGTGATAGATTTTAGTATGAGTGGCTGAGCTGATGGGCTTCCTAATTTGTTGCCCTGCCTCTCATGCTGTCCTGAGCTGAAATGTTGGAAACTGATTGTGGGTTACCAGCCTGGTTGACATTGCAGTCTCCCTCCATCAGTGACTCTGTAAAGCAGCAAGCAGAGGAGAGTGTGCATTCATGAGCCAGAGAGCAGACTGTCATTAGGACAATGTGCTAAAGAATGGGAGGATGCAAGACAGTCTTTTCTCATCTGATAACAGAGTCATTGAACTGCCAGGTTCAATGCAAGGTGGTAAAGCTGGGACCTGTGTAAGTCCTCTGGTCCAAGCTCCCCGACTAAAGCAGGGCCAGTATGATTCTTTATGGTTATGTCCTCTCTAGTTTTGGTATTTCCAGTGGTGGAGCCTTCAGAGCCACTCCAGATAATTTATACAAGCATTCAAACATCCACACAGTAAATTCTTTTTTCCTATGTGCTGCTCTTATGTGTTTTCTTGTAACATGCCACTCTGCTGGAAGGGAAAAGGTGATGTACACTCCCTCCCACCTGCCTTGAATGTGCAGGATGTTAAAAAAGTTCTCATGTCTGAATCTGTGTTCTCTGCAGAATAGAAGAAACCTCAACAAGTGTCTGTTTTTTTTACTCTTTGATCTCAGTTGAAATTAATCTCTTTTCATAACTGGATTAATATGAATGTATGGTGGATGTCTTTGAAGACACAAAACCAAAACAAACAGGTCTGTTTGTGTTCTCTTTTTTTTTTTTAGGTGTACGTTGTGGTGGGAATTGCAGCACTGGTGTGCACGGGCTTAGTAATAACCCTCATTATTCTGAAGTTTGGAAGACACTCTAAGTTTGGGATGAAAGGTAAGCAGGGTTGGTTTTACACCTTCCAGAATTGTTGGGGGTTGTATAAGCTGAGACTGTAGTCTGCTGAACCAGGAACATCCAGAACAGCTACATTAAATGACACCACATTTTTTATTTTGATTATTCATCAGGCAAGTAATGGCAGAGGTAGATGTAGATAGACAGTGTAGGATTTTGGATCAAACACTTCTACTTCTGTTTTCTTCTTAGGATAAATACCATTTCTTTGCCTGCTGCAGCAAAGCCCCCTGAGACAATTCCTGGAGTAAAATATTTCTCAACTCAGTGTAGGTAGGAAAAAGATAGGAAATGGAATTTATTCTCAAGTTTAAACCCAAGTTTGATTGATGAGAATCAATGCTGTATGTAAGAGGTAGTTTAGACAGTACTACACTGTTCCATTAAGGTGATGGGGAACCAACGACAGGAGCAGAAGGTGCATTTGCAGTGGATCCTGTTATAGTAGTGCTTTCTGAGAGATGCATTTTCATGTGGTTCTTGGGGAGCATCAGCATCTGGAGACAGTTGCAAATACCCATCTCCCTGTGGAAGGGGGAAATCTCAGCCCTTCATTTATTCATTTATTTATTTTACAGCCAGATGGAGGTATGTGTAACACAATGGAGGTATGTGTAACCTGCAACAACTCCGTTACTATATTCTTTTACTAGTATCATTAGTCTGTGTCTGATGATGTGAGTGAAATTGTATTTAAAAAGAAAAAGAGAGAAATTTTGAAAAGAAATTTAAAAAAACCAACTTGCTGTCTTGCTGAGAGACCTAGAAGATGCTTTGCTGTGTGCTAAAGGAGATGAGCATTTTTTCTTAAGATATATAGATAAGGGTCTGTGGAGAACATGGTAAGTAATCTTTTGGTAAACTCTTGTTAATCTCACGTCCTTCTTCTAAATTGTGCTTATGACACAGTACCACTTAGATGTATATTTTGGTAATGCTTACATGCTCTTGGTAATTGCTCCTTTCAGAGATATCTACTCTATATTTTGTGTTCCTGTATTCTATTTAAGAGTAGATTTCCTGGAACAAATGTGATTTGAGCAGAACAGAAACGTAGTTGGTGCAGATCAACTGCTGGGATGGTAATCTTGTCTCTCACTTCCTTACAATATGTCTCTACTGTTTGGGGTAGCATTAGAAAAGAATAGTCATTGTGAAATATCCTGAATAGCAACATGAAGTCAGCGGGTTTGAGCTGCAGAGTTTTGGCAGAAGGCTAATCTGTGACTGAACAGTTCAGCCTAAATTTTCTGTTGGAGGCTTTCTGAACTGCATTTAGAGAGCTGAAGTAGGTGGAAGCTTAATCAGGTGGAAGCTGATTGAGAGAAATTATGAAAATTGTTTGATGTTAGCTCTTTAAAGCTGAATATTTGTTAGGTTTTTGCATTAAATGTTTTAACACAACATTATTAAAGAAACTAGGAAATAAACCCTACCCTGAGGGGGAATGCACCAAGTTCTATTTTGTGTTGTAGTGTTAAGTTACCTTCCAGGAAGCTACTTGTTTTACGGTATCTTCAAATACAGCTCTTCTCACAAAAATAGTGCTCTTGCCTAATCAATAACTTTGACCTGAGTAGTTCTTTGTTGCAAAATTGTTCATGTAGGTCATATTTTAATGAGAATATGATTTCATGGAAATGACTATATGAAATTACAGAAAGACTTCATACATATTGTTTATTTTATTTTCAATGGTGAAATGTCACTGTGAATTACAAATAACTCTTGAGTCTTCCATGAGAAAGAAGTGACTGTCATCTGTCCCTTAAGTGGACCTCAAACTTCTCCAAAGCATGCATTCACACCTCAGATTCACCACCTGGCTCTATCCATAGTCCAAAGTTCCAGAAATTCTTCCTTTATCATTATCAGTATTACTGAGTTTATATTAAAACAATATTTAAAGACTTGAGATTAGATATAAATAGATATATACCTGGGTAATAAGAAAATATTGCCTGCTCTGAAAAGCCTGCAGTGTAAGTATATGAGAATTGACATACGCAAGAAGTATGAATCTGAGTAAGTATTGAGAATTGATATATGAAATAAGTAACTTGATATATTTGAACATGAAGAAAATAAGGTGAGCGTGATGAGAAGGGGTTTTTTGGTCATTTTTTGATCAATACATTTAAATGTGTATCTTGGAATTTGTGAATAAAAGGGTCAAGTCAGCTACCTGAGAACTCAGAGGCATTTGTGATTTAATTCAGTCACAGCAAAATTAATCCAAACAGAGTATGCTATAGTGGTAGTTTACAAAGAGTATACAAAGAATATGCTATAGTGGTAGTTTAATATGCAGTCTCAGTAAGGAAATGGGAAGGAGCTAAATATCCAGTTTTCCATGGAAAATATTTATAAAACGAGATTTAAAAATCCTCTCCAAAATTAATGATGATTTTTGTATTCATAAGAAGTAACTTCCTGAGTTACATCACGCAGAAATGCACAAAAAGCTATGCTTCTTTTTTCTGTTACATTCTGAGAACATAACATGGTCACTCAGACACCCTGTCATTAAAGGTCTATGCACCCTTCTTCAGAAAGCAATTTGGAAAAAACAAAGTAACCATTCAGTAATTGCAGCAGTCAAACTGTCACTAATGCTGTTTTTCATGTAACCATGTGTTTGGAAAAACATTCCATTCAAAATCAAAAAAAAAGAAGTGTATATAGGCTAAAGTAACTGTGTGTCCCGTAGGAAATATCTTTATGTAAGGATGACATTTTCATCTCATTTGGGTTCAGAGCAGGCATCTGCAGCTTCTGTAGACATTGTTTTATGCCTCCTACTTTTAAATGTCAGTTTATCACATCTTTTACATGGGCATCATCTGCCTTCTTCTTTGACTTACGTCTTTGCTGAGTTCTTCTGTACTTAAAGAGCTCGAGCACAGTTGGAGTGCGGGACTGACAGTTTACCCCCAGAAGGACATGTGGACCAGGCAGGTTTGAGCTATGGCTGTGTCAAAGCTGCCCATACTTGGAAGCACTGCATGTACTGAGACTGCCACAGAGATCACCTTGAGGTCTTCTTTCCAGTACTGTATGGAGCAGAACAGCATCAGGTCTACGTGTGAGAGAGCACCACTGGGAACTTCCAGTTCTTTGACAGTACTGATCAATATGTCATAAAGTCTGTTGAGGAGTTGTATGAAAATAAATTATACCTATTTTCTTATTTTTCTCTATTCATTTGGTATATCTAAGGTAAGAGAATAACTTGGGGTATGTTCATTTTACTCAGTTACCTTTCCAAATTGTAGTAATAGAGTGTCTTTAGAAGTGAGGAGGACAAACAAAGCACTTGGAAACATTTTGTTTAGGATGTTCTATATTCTGATTGAAGTTGGACTGTACTGCATGAAGCAGTTGTTTTATTTCTTGCCTTAATTCTTTTTATTCTGTCATTTAGAGCTAGAGGAGGTAGCAGTTTCTAATGATTGACTTTGGGAACAGTATTAGTACAGAACAGATCTGTGGTCTGTGATAGAGGAGTCTTAAAAAAGGGTTAGTACCAAAAACTCTCATGTTGTGCTAGACTTCATACTTCCATAGCAAAATTCATCAGAATAATTGGTGAAATATAATTCTCTATTTTGCTGCTTGTGTAAATTTAAAAAACCTTATTATACAGGACCTAGTGACAACAGCTTTGTATGAAAAGCTGCTTTTTGTTGCTTGGATCTGGAGGTGAGGTTTTTAGACTCTTGCAAGATGCTGTAGCATAAACTCATCAAAATGGTGAAAGCTTCATTTAATTTCCTAAATGTGTTTGTTAAGACTTGTGGGTTGCTCTTACGAAACACCTTGGCTTGCTTTCTTGCTTGCTTGCTGTGGGATGTGAAAATGCTTATGGTGGGAATTCACTGGAGGCTGCCAAGACAGCTCTTACAGTTTTGTGTTTATTTCTGATTCCATCTAACAAGCTTATGAAACTGAAAACTAAGAAAGGAACTGGAGTAGAGAGGACTGAGGAGTATTTGTGAACTCCCTGAGAGGATTTGTGGAAGAGCAATTCTAATCCAGTTTTATTCTACTTTGCCTGTTGAATTGTGATGGAAGTAACCAAATGGTTTGCAGCATAACCAGCCCAATACACAATTTGCAGATGTTAATCATGCCACTAAGCACGAAGGGAAGTATGAAGAAAACAGATGGAAGATAAATTAGTGGATAAACTTCAAAATAGCATGATTCAGTTAAAAGGATGAAAACATTTTTGATTTTATCAACTGTTCCTATTCCAGTGACATGACAATTCCTAGTACTCCCTGCTTTCTGGGGAATCTGGAGGTGGATAGTCATGGACAAGAGTATTATCACGGCAGCTTTACTGATAGAAATTAATGGAGTTTGTGTAGGTTTTATCTAAGTCAGAAAGGAAGGAGAAGCTAGTCTCACTCAAACCAGTGTCTTCTAAGTCAACAGATAGAAACTGACAGAAGTAGAGGGAAACATGTTCCTACTTGTTCCATGTAGGATGAGATTTTTCTTCATATGTTCATATGAAGTTTCCGTCAGTGCCTTGAGCTGCATGCAAAGATAAGGGAAAAAAGAGTCTGAAATTCACACTGTATTTAGGCAATGCCAGCTATCTTCTCATGTCTGTGGGCTTCCATGTCATGCTTTGAAAGCTGCTTCTCCTTCCTCAAGTACTCTCTGAACTACCTCCTCTATCAAAACGTATGTCCTGACTATGAATTCTTCACCTCGTTCAAAGACTTGCAAGTCTATGCCAATCAAGGTACAGAAATTTACCTTTCTGTGATCAGGTACTGAGATTGTGTGGTTGATCTGGGAAAGAAAACAGTGTCTCTTTTAGGACAAACACACCAAAATATAGCTTTCCTTAAAATTCTTTCTAGCTGCTTGTCAACTTTTTTGAGTGTAAGTTTAAAATTTGGACTGTCAATGAGAGTGTTGTTCTCTTTCATCAAGCAGATTAAAAATTAGGAACAAATCCATGT